CCCACAGAGGTCAGGAGCAGAGGCTCTGCAGACAGGCTGCAAGTTCTTTTCAGCCGACCCACAGAGAGAGCCTTGACCTCACGCGACAGAAAACTGCAACCACACCCCCAGATACCAGATCTTCTCGCCAATCAGATTCAGAAAACCTCACCGGTGCAGCCACCCTGTGGGGAAAGGACCACCACCACCCCCCCATCGCTGAGGGGAAGGCAGAGAGGCAGCCCTGACAGGGCAGGGTCCTCCTGGCAGAAGCCACTGCAAAGATGAGTGTGTGCTCGTGTGACCCGGCAGCTCCACTCAGGAGGATTTACCCTCCTGGTCCCTTATTTGCATGTTGGGGCAATGACGGGGCTGTGAACACAATGTGGACCATCCAGACCATAGACTATTCCTGGGCCGGAAGAAGAAGGGAGTGCCGCTACCTACTGCTGCCAGGAGTGAAGGACATGCAGATACTTGGAGGCCGTTAGTCTAGAGGCAGAGTAGAACACACGAGCCCCAGGCTCTACCATCCTGAGACCGGAAGAACTAGGCGGTGCCCGGTGCCCGGCCACCACCGCAGACTGCTCGGAAAGGAATCACAATAGATAGTTTTGGATAAAGTGGGAGGAGAGTGTGGAGCAAGACTCAAAATCACAAAGAAAGGTCAGGGTGACTGGTTTGAGAGACTAGTAGAACCCCCAAGACGAAGGCCCTTCGTGACCCTTCAGCCTTGGAACCCAGCTCAACCCCTGACCTTAACTTTCAGCCAAGCAATAGTTGCAGGCCTAGACGTTTCCACACTAAGAGCAGGCAACAAAGGGCTCCGCTCCACCCTTGGGAAGAAGCAGCCACTGAAACGCTGTCAGAGGCTGGAGGCCTGATGAATGGAAGCCGGATATCCTCAGAGACCGTGCCCGAGGGTGGGGTCCTGGGGTTCGAGCCACTCAGAATGCGACTGAGTTCTCAGGGCGGAGTTGGTCACGGTGACCCGAGCCTGGGAAAGCCTGTGGGAGGGGAGCCTTGGGGAATCTTCTTTTGCTGATGGGGCACGACTCAAGGTAGGGAGAAACCGCTGCAAAAAATGTGTTAATGATCGATCGGAACGTGGAATGTGCAAACTCTGAATATAGGAAAGTCAGAAGTGGTCAAAAATGAAATGGAATGCATAAAATTGATATCCTATGCGTTAGTGAACTGAAATGGATGGGTATGGGCCATTTTGAATCAGAAACTCAGATATGATTTACTATGCTGAGAATAACACGATCATGATCTCATTTCTACCTTACAAATCAGATTAGACCAGAGCATGCACACTGCTACAGATAAGAGCCTGCAACACAGGGAATCCAGGATAGATAAACCCCTCAGGGCCAACAGTGAGAGTAGAGGGTGGGGGCAGAAAGGAGGAATCGATCACAAGGATCAATCTAGAACCCTCTCCCAGGGGGACGAAGAATGGAAAAGTGGGGGAGGGGCAAGAGAGGACAATGTAAGATATAGAAAAAATAATCTATAACTTATCAAGGGTTCATGAAGGAGGGTGGGCGGGGGAAGGAGGGGGGAGAAATGGGGAGTTGATATCAGGGGCTCAAGTGGGAAGAGAATGCTTTGAAAAGGATGATGGCGGCATA